TGCTCTCAGTCACCAGAAGGTACACAATTGTCCATCAACTGACGAAGGGCTAAACCAGGGGCCCTATGGCCATACAGGGAACTGTATAGCCATGCAAAGGACAGAACCTCTCACACCTGTTGCAGGAGGAATGCACCTTTCAAACATGAGAAGCAAAAGACCGTACGGTGTATGATTCTGTGTCTATGAGATGTCCAGGACAGGCAAATCCAGGAGACAGAAAGCAGGTGAGTAGTTGCCAGGGGCTGGGGTGGGGGGGAGGGGGCAGTGAGGGATGACTGATAATTATATAGTAATTCCTTTTGGGGTCATGAGAATGCCTGGAACTAGATAGAGGTGACGGCTGCACTGCTTTGTGAATCTACGAAAATCACCACGTTATACTTTAAAAGTGTGAATGCTATGGTATGTGAATTATATCCCAGCATTTAAAAGCCACAACATTGGGGCACCTGGGTGGCTCAGTGGGTTAAGCCTCTGCCTTCAGCTCAGGTCATGATCCCAGAATCCTGGGATCGAGCCCCACATTGGGTTCTCTGCTCAGCGGGGAGCCTCCTTCCTCCTCTCTCTCTGCCTGCTTCTCTGCCTACTTGTGATCTCCGTCTGTCAAATAAATAAATAAAATCTTTAAAAAAACAAACAAACAAAAAATAAAAGCCACGACATCATCCTTATGCCTTAAAAAAAATGAATCATTGGGGCGCCTGGGTGGCTCAGTGGGTTAAAGCCTCTGCCTTCAGCTCAGATCATGATCCAGGGATCCTGGGATCGAGCCCCGCATCGGGCTCTCTGCTCAGCAGGGAGCCTGCTTCCTCCTCTCTCTCTGCCTGCCTCTCTGCCTACTTATGACCTCTGTCTGTCAAATGAATAAATAAAATCTTTAAAAAAAAATGAATCATTATCCTTAGTATTAGGGGTCTCACCTTCTAGGCGCTACCCCTCCAGGACTCATTCCCCGATTGTCCCATGAATGTTATTTCCCATTGTGTGTGTGTGTGTGTGTGTGTGTGTGTGTGTGTGTGTGTGTGTAAGATTTTATTGAGAGAGAGAGTATGAGTGAGAGAGACAGAGCATGAGCAGGGGAGGAGAGGAGGGACAGAGGGAGAGGGAGACTCCCCACTGAGCAGTGAGCCCGATGTGGGGCTCGATCCCTGGACCCCGAGATCACGACCTGAGCTGAAGCCAGACACCCAACCAACTGAGCCCCCCAGACGCCCTCCCATACTTGTTCGAACCTCACTGTAGTAAGGTGCACACATTGCGTGTGATCCACACACGTGGATAAATGTGTTTAAACCAGAAGGTTCTTCTCCCTCTTTCCTGGCAATGTGTGGAAGGACCCAGGCCGTCACCCCTTTGCATCCTCCCATGGTCTATGTTCTGTTGTGTCCCTGGGGTGGCAGAAGCCGTGTTCTCAGCCTGCCTGGCAGCCCTGAGCTGGCCACTGTCCTGCAGCCCCAGGGGCAGCTGGTGAGACAGTAGAAGATATTTCGCCATGGGGTGGGGGGTGGACAGAGCCAGGGAACCTGGCGAAGAGGCAGGGCTAGGGCTTATCTGTAAACTTGTTTGCTGGGTGAATGGTGGCGGCTGTCAGAGACCCAGAGGTCTCCAGCTAACAAGACCCTGACCAGGCTCTCTTACCTTTCCACCAAGCATGGATTTGGCAGGAACCCCACACCCCCAAAGCCACTAGAGTTGTGCTTGGGCCTGCACAGAGATAGGAACAGCGGAGCTGGGCCTCTGTCCTCAGCCAGGTGGCTTCTAGCTGCCCCTACCCATTGGGTTGCCACCTCACTCCCATCCGGGCCCCCAAAGCTGTGTGGGACAAGACCTGCTACCCTCTGCCGGCTGGCCAGACTCTGCCCATGGCTGGCACATACCCAGGTCTTGCCCTGCTCAGGACCTTTGCACCTGCTGTTTCCTCTGCATCCATGCCCCCCCCAGCACACACATCGAAGTTCAGGAGCTGAAAATGCAGAGGCTCCAAGTGGCCCTCCCTGCCCCCACTAAGCCCCCAGTGTCTCTATGCCTTTGTTCTCTTCTGTTGACTTTTTTTGTTTTTAAGATTTTATTTATTTATTTGACAGAGAGAGAAAGAGAGCACAAGCAGGGGGAGCGGCAGGCAGAGGGAGATGGAGAAACAGGTTCCCCATTGAGCAGGGAGCCAGATGCAGGACCCTGGGACCATGACCTGAGCTGAACTCAGATGCTCCAATGACTGAGCCAGCAGGTGGCCCTAGGTTTGCTAATTGTTATTTTCTCTCTTAACTAGAATCTCAGCTTGGTGAGGGTAGGGCCCTATGTCTAGATCTAGATCAGCACCCGAAGAGGTAGATGAGGAGGCAAGTGAGTGAGTGAAGGACCCCCGGAGTGCGCAGGGTCACGAATCTCTCCCCACCTCACAGAGGTCCAGGTACCGCTGACCCTGTCTGGGTAGGAATCCAGGGCTCTCCCTGGGCACCACCTGACCCCAACAAGGAAGACAGGCGCCCCCGGGGACAGCCCACAGGAGGGACCCACCTTCCTCCCTCTGCCCCATGCTTTGGCTTCCTGGCCACGCTGCCCTGATAGCCAGCATGAAGGATAGAGGTCAGGTGGGAGGAGCCCCGTGAAGTGGGCAGAGCATCTGTGGGAGGGAGGAAGGGGAGAGGCACAGGGACAGCTGCCCAGGATCAGGGTGGGAGCTTTGGGCCCCCTGAGCTTGGGTGCACCCATCTCATGGGGTTTTGTCTGGCAATCTTATGGAGGCATAGGGTTGCCAGAAGAAATACAGGATCCCAGGTAAATTTGAATTTGAGGTGAGTGACTGATACTTTTTTTAGTATAAGTATATCCCAGATAGTGTGTGGGATATACTTACACTAAGAAATGATTTGTTGTTTCCCTCAAGTTCCATTTCACTGGGCTTCCTTCTTTTCGCTTGTGAGATGCAAGGCCCTATTAGAGGTGGAACAGCAGGACAATGGTCAGGGCAGACCCTAGGGAGTCCAGCCTGTGGCAAGGCAGGGCTGACGGCAAGGGGCAACTGTAGGCCTGAGGAAGACAAGCCCGGAGGCTGCAGCTATGGCCCTGACTGATGCAGGGGGACAGTGCAGCTCAGGGCCTTCTCCAGCCCCAGATCTGAACCCCTGCCCACCCCCTGCTTCCCCAGGTCCTCTGAGCCATGACCAGCAAAAGGTGACTAGGGTTACGATCCCAGCAGCCATGTTCAGTGGTAGCAGTGTGAATCAGTGTTCACCCCACGTCAAAGCCAATGATGAATTCCCTGCAGAACTGATGGGTTCTCTGCCCACCCCACACCCAAATTCTATTGGCTGACTCTGCAGAGGGCCAATTGGGTGCATGTTCAGGGACAGCTTTGTCTCTTGGGGAAGGAATGCCCCAGGTCTGGCATCTGTATCCTCAGCCTGTGCTCTGATGTGGTCAGGAGGGGGGAGGGTGGCGTGACCTTGTGTTTGTGGGGTGACTTCCACATGGCAAGGCCATGGCTAATTCTCAGCACGCCCAACCTGATGGCCAAGAATGACAGTTTGTCCCCACATGGGGTTTCCAAGGGGGTTTTCTTACCTTCTCTCCCCCCTGGGGACTCTCTGAGCCCCAACTTAACAGCTAGCAACAGCTGGTGATTCGCAGGGTTAGAGGAAAAGCCCCTAAATGTTTTGCAACGGCTTCTCATCTCCACCTGCCCTTCCCCTGAGCATCCCAGGCAGCTGGGGACTAGTGGGGTAGGGGAAGCTTAGGGTCCCCCAGCCTCCCCGTGTGACACTTACCTATGCCTGGACCAAGCTTTGAGCTGGAAGAGGCAACAGGCCTTTCTAGAATCTGGGGTTTGGTAGTGCAGATTGTTAGGGTTCAAAGGAAGGCTGGGGGCCTGTGGCATCAGTATCTCCTGGGAACTTGTTAGAGAGATGCTTCTCAGGCAGGCTCAGACCCGCTGACCCCGAAAGATGGCATCCTGTCCCCCAAGAAACCATGCTTCCCGCACATGCACTTGCCAAGCCCTTTGCGGGGTCAGTGGGGGGGAAGGGAGGGGTGCTCACCCACTGATCAGAGCTAAGGCAGCTCCTGACAGCTGTTTCCTACTCCTCCTCGGCACACCCCAGGCCATTCATCTCCTTAGGAGGCCACCCGTGAATGAGTTGTGTCAGGAGCTTGTGGACCAGTGGCCTTTTTGCAGGTCACCAGAGATGGGGGGGAACAAGCCCCTACTGCCCATGACAAGAGGGCAAAGGCAGGACTAGGGGCCTTGGCATCTAGACTTTCGGCCCTCTGCTCCTGGGTGGGGGGCGTGGGGGTCAGGAGAGGGAGAAGGCAGAAAGGAGGGGAGTGACATTGTCCTTGCAAACAAGACCTGCAGGTGGCAAGCCTTCTTTCCCGGGAGATACCTGGGAAGGTCTTATCATCCTGGATCACTACTGTTACCGCCAACAATAGTGACTGCGTGCTCCGTGTGTGTCTGGCGCCCGGATGAGGGACGATCTCACTGAGGTCAGCAGATTCACCAATTAAAAGGCAGATTCCTCTGCCTGCACTCCAGGCCTTCCCAATCTCCAGGGCTGGGCCTGGGAATCTGCTTTTTAAGAAGGGCCCCAGGGAATTCTTGGGACCGGAGACTTGGGAGGCACTGGCTTTCTCCAAACCCTAAATGAAGCTACCCGACCCTGGCATTCATTCATTCGTTCCCTCACCTGGCCCGACAACTACCGGACATCCCCCTCATTCACCGGCCCACCCCCGCTCTGTTCCTCCCCGGATCACTGTTCACGGTCCCCGAGTGCGCCTTTGAGCCCGAATCGTCCACTCCGTGCTCACGGAGGCTGCTCGGTTTTCACCCTCCGTCCCTCCAGCCTGGGAGCCAGGTCTTTCCCTTTCAGGCGCCGCTCCCCAAAGAGCCCTGGGTCCGGGACCCTCCCAAGCCCCGCCCCCTCCCGGGCCGCCGAGCCCACCTCCCCAGCCTGCGACTGCGCTCTGGGCCCCGCGTGCCCCGCGCGCCCCGCCCCCACCCGAGACCTGCACCGCAGGGCGCTAGCTCGGACCCCGCGGCTCCCCGCCCTCCGGGCATCCCGGCCAGGCGAGAGCCGGAGCCGGAGCGCTCTGGGAAGCATGAAGCAGGTAGGACCGCGGGGATGCTGGGGTGGAAGGATGGGGGAGAGGACGGGAGGAGCCTGCGAGAGCTCCGGGCAAGGGAGGGGGGCGGTGAGGAGGAGGGAGAGGGGAGGACAGGAGGAAGGATGGGCGAACCGGGGCCTGGGCCGCACCCCAAATGGACAGAAGGCCTCGGATTGCAGCCGCGGGGGGAGGGGCCCTTCCAGCAGAGAGGGTAGGGGTGGGGATGGCCACCGCCTGCCATCCGCGTTTGGTGTCCCCCAGGCCCTGGTGGATGATACTGAGGATGTGTCTTTGGACTTCGGTAATGAAGAGGAGCTGGCCTTTCGGAAAGCCAAGATCAGGTGCGTTAGGACCTGGCGTTTGGCAAGCATTCTCCAAAGCTGCATATTCATTCTCCTTCACTTGCCCACTCATTCATTCATTCATTCATTCAGAATATGTTGAGCATCTAGTGTGTGCCAGGCATGGGTCTAGGGACATATCGGGGGCAGATCAGACAAGATCCCATGCCCTCCTTGGGCCTGTACTCTGCGCTGCAGGCAAACGAAGATGGTAATGAGATAGTTACACAGTGTGAGAAGATTTTTGGGAAGAAAAATCAGCAGGTGGTGACATTAGGTGATGGGAAGTCCGCTGGCCTGTTGCAGCCAGGGAGGGCCTCTCTGAGGAGGCGGCATTTGCACTGAGACCTGAATGATGAGAAGCAGCCAGCCATGGGAGACTCCGGAGGGAGAGTGTTCCAAGCAGAAGAATAGCAGGTCCAAAGGCCCCAAGGCTGTGTTGGATGGGCAGAGAAAGGCCCCTGTGTCTGGAGGCTGGTGGGGAAAGGGAGAGGGCTTGGCAGGGAGGCTGGAGAACTGGGCGAGAGCTTCCGTTTTTATTCTAATCCTTGCTTCAGCGCCAGACAAACCGAGCATCCTGGGTTGAGTCCCTTGCCTTCCAGAGACCTTCCACAACCCAGAAGGCAGCAGGACTAGGGTATGAGGAATGACCCACGGACACCGTTGCTGTTGACCTGGGTGGCCACCGCAGCTAGAAATGCATGCCTCAGGTACCCTTACCACCTCGCCTTCACACCCTCTGAGCCAGCAGGGTGGGGGTCTCTCCCCTAAACGCCCTTCCTTTCCAGCTCTCTGACCCAAATCCAATACACCCCACATTGGAATATGACCCTAGGAGTGTCCTAGGGCTGCCGTTACAGACGACTCTAAAATCGTTGGCCTAGAAACAGCAGAAATTTATCCTTCCACCATATTCCGAGCAAAAGATTCACAACAGCCCTCTTTGGGTTTTGAAAACGAAAGACAAGTTTATTATTACTATAGAAACCTAATAGCGCCAGGAGAGGAAAGGAATCTACCCACAGATGAAGGTAATAGTAGGCAATAAATGAGAATAAGGCAGAGTTAAATCAAATCAGGCTCTTAGAGCTTCTAGTCTCCCCAGCTGGGACAGCCCCGCGGAGACAGCCCGACTGGAGTCCCAAGTGAGAGGCTTCCTACCCTCGCTGAGCCTTCCAGCCGATCATCCCCAGAAAGGCTATTACTTATAGGGCAAATGACAGGGTTTGAAATTGAGCCTTTGTCTGACTACCTGCAGTTGGAGTGAGCTGCATTTCCGTGTTATCATGTTTCTCTATTTTTAAGGAGCCTGGGCTATGCATGTCTGCCTCCCCTCCTGGATTCTGTATTCCATTCCGGGGGGACCAGCCCAGCCTGGAGCAGGAGGGGAGGTGTGACAAGATTCATAACCCTTGGCGCCCAGGACAGAAGGGCCAATTCTGAGCTGGAGGCCAGATCATGTATTGGAAAGAATCAGGCTCCCGAGATCATTCTTGCAGCACGAGTCTCCCAAACACCATTCTGTAGCCCGCCTGTTTGCTTCTGTGCAGGTCCAGGAGCTGGGTAATGCGGGATAAGTCACAGAAACCTCTTTCCGTTCAGAACACACAATTCTGGAGGCCAGAAGTCCAAAATCAGTTTCACTGGGACAAAAAAAAAAAAAAGGCATCAGCAGGGCCACACCCTGCTCGAGGCTGTAGGGGAAGATCCGTCCGTCCCTTGCCTTTCCCAGCTTCTGATGGATGCTGGCTGGGGCCCCTTCCCCCATCTTCAAGGCCTGCGTCGTAGCATCTTCGAATCTCTCTGCCCCGTCTTCACGTTGCATTGTCTCTGTCACTGTCCCGGTCTTCCTCTGCTAGGCTTGCTTGTGAGTGCATTTAGGACCCATCGGGATAATCCGGGATAATCACCCCATCTCAAGATCTCAAGATCCTTCACTGAATGGGATATGCAGAGTCCCTTTTGCCGTATAAAGTGACATTCACAGGTTCCAGGGCTTAGGACTTGGATATTTTGGGGGGCCATTATTCAGTCTGCCGTAATGACCAGTGAATGTCGTTGTAAGGCACTGTAAGAGAACTGAAATCATGGGGGAGAATCTTAACAGAACATCTAGGCTCCTTAAATGCTCCACTCTAGATTGTGGGCGGGGGACACACACTATACAGGACACGCACCCTTCCTTTATGGAGCTGTCCTATCCAGAGCAGGGAGGGTCAAACTCAACACTGCCAATATTTTGGGCCAGGTGATTCTTTGCTGCGAGTGTTATGCTGGGCATTTTAGGACCGGATGCCAGGACCACCTCACCAGTAATGAATCCAGACTCTGCCAGGTGTACCCTGGGTGTTGGAGGAAACTTGCCTCTAGTTGAAAATTGTTGGTATGGGGGTAATGGGTGTAGATGTGTCCATAGCTCTCATGACTCAGTATTTTACATGCTGTGATTGAGCAAAGTTTGGGCACTTGTCCTGCTTAGGGGAGAAGTGACAGCTGAGACCCAAAGAATGAGTAGGAGTTAGCCAAACCAGGAAGGCAGGAAGGGTATGATGTGCAAAGATTTAGAGGGGAAAGCACGACTTTAGGGAGATGAGAGTGGTTCATTGTGGCCAGGGATGCTGGGGAGTGGTCTGAGCAGAGGCTGGGGCCAGACCCCGAAGGGATCCCAAGCAAAGCTGTAGAGCTCCACTGCCCACTAGAACTTTCTGTGAAGATGGGAGTGTGCTATACTTGCGCTAGCCAATATGGTAGCCACCAGCCATGTGTGGCTCTTGAGCATTGATACGTGATGAGTGTGAACTTGGGCAGAACTTGGGATATTGAATTCAAATAGCCACATGCGGCTACCATATTGGACGGGGCAGTTGAAAAGTCCGCTCACTGCTGGAGAGTTTTGTGTGGGGCAGTGACAGGATCAGATTTGCAGGACAGAGAATGGATGGTGGCAGCAGATGGAGGCAAGGAGGAGAAGCTGGAAGCTTGGACCATGGTGCTGGTAGGGGTGCTAGAGAGAAGTGGGGATGCCTAGAGGCACATAGAGGATAGAATCTGCTGGCCTTGGTGATGGTCGATATGTGGGGTGGGTACAGGGACAGACAAGGGTGATGGCCAGGTTTCTGGCCCAGTGATCCCAGCAAAGGAGTCAGCATGTTGGGTTCAGGAGGTCGCTGTTGGGTTGTGCTGGGATATCTAATTGGCAGATTTGGTGGGCAGCTGGGGAGAGAGGCTGAGAGCTCAGGGGATCATCTGGGCCGCATTCCTGAGGCCTGGGAGGCAGTAGCTCCCAGACCCATGTATGTCTCAGAGCCACCTGTTCCAGAACTCTCCAGTGTGCCTCCTGTAGGGCACAGCCCTGCACCTCCTTAACCAGATCCCCAGGAGATGGGCCTGGGAGTGTACATTTATTTATTTTTATTTATTTTTATTTTTTACTAATTATTTTTACTAACATATAATGTATTATTTGCCCCAGGGGTGCAGGTCTGTGAATCATCAGGCTCACACATTTCATAGCACTCACCATATCACATACCCTCCCCAATGTCCATAACCCAACCACCCTCTCCACAAGCCCCTCCCCACAGTAACCTTCAGTTTGTTTTGTGAGATGTCTCCTTCCCGATCCCATCTTGTTTCATTTTTTTCCTTTCCTAACCCCAAACCCCCCACCCTGCCTCTCAAATTCCTCATATCAGAGAGATCATATGATAATTGTCTTTCTTTGCTGGACTTATTTCACTCAGCATAATACCCTCTAGTTCCATTCATGTTGTTGCAAATGGCAAGATTTCATTTCTTTTGATGGCTGCATAGTATCCCATTGTGTGTGTGTGTGTA